GAGAGAGAGAGAGAGAGAGAGAGAGAGAGAGAGTTTGCATTGGTCTGTTGCCTCTACCATTAGTGCATCGCCCGTCGTATTTGTTTTCGTGAGCGAAACTGCAACAGGTCATCTAGTTCCTGTTCAATTTTCTTCAGATCTTCAGCTTACATTTTGTCTGTTCTCTTAATGATGCTCACCCGTATGCATTTACTAGTAGTACAGAAGAGGAGCATCACCCGTATGCATTTACTAGAATTACAGAAGAGGAGGGAGGAAGGAAATAAGATGTGAAGTTCTCACAGGGTTCTACATACTCACCACTGGAGCAGACTGCTCTAGAATGGCACATGAGGCCACTCTGTGTTTGGGTTGGATAAGATTTTGAGTCAGGGAGCAGCTGTTGCCTATGGTAAGCGGCCACCACTACAGATCGGACAGGACCAGTTCGGGTGTGGACTGTGGAAGCACGGCATAGATGTGACAGGCCACGTGCCTCCTATATGCTAGGAACACGGAGGCACGCCGACCGCAATTGTAGAGCCATTGCCGTTCCAGCCCTGGTCTACAGATTGGACACGACATGTCAGCGTGTCGTACATGAGTCAGTATTGACTGCCATCATACATATGAAAACAAAAACACGCATCGGCTATCCATTCATAATCCTCACGGCATAAGGCATGTGAACCACATGCTAGCCGAATGTCGGGTTTCCCAGTATCTATTCCTTCCCTATGGGCAGACAATGGGGATTGATCCAAAGCCGGAGTGTTCAGCTGCTGCAGGATTTGGTCTGCAACAGCTCGCCCTGGTGGTGATAACCTTTCAGTGCAGCGCTCTGTTGGTGGTTCATATGGTAGTCTATTTTCCTCCTCAGGCTGCTGCATCTGTCATTTGTCTGGCAAGGATGAGAGAGATCCTACTGCAATTGCAGCAGGTGTGTGCCCAACATTAGGTGTGGGACTTGCTAAGATAGGATGTGGTTTTGGCATCAGGTATAGTCCATGCAGTAGAGACACATAGTTTCTATGACAGCTTCCTGGAAACATTGACGACACATTGCATGTCACGGACACATTCAGCAGGAAAGCAGGCTGACGTTCACAGCCATTTAGGCAGGGCATGTCAAGGCCACGGCGGTATCCTGGGCAAGTAATTAGGGGGTGGGAGGGATGAGCACAAGACAAAGGGTTGCAGTTTTCGCGGCAGAGACTGGCAGTGATCATCCCTTCGTAGTGTTGGGAGGAGAGACTATGCTGTGTGCATGCTCACCGTCCTGTAGCTGCGTGACAACAGAATGGGATGGCATAACCATTGTCCTCTGGAGAGGCTCCTTCACTGTCCATGGTAAATCTCGTCCGATCCACACAGCGAGGGGGACTCTACCTAGCCATGCATAGGGGAAGGAGGAGCTTCATCCGGATTGTTCTCCGGAGGTTGTAGAGCTTGCGAGTGCATAGCGGCACAGTGTTCCTGATGGACAAGCCAGACCGAGTGATATTCTACCGCCCGGTGATAGAAGGAGTTAATATTTCCCGCTGTGTGCACCCTACCACCATTGTCCCGTAGGGTCCATGAGGTATCCGCAAGGGTAACAGCACTTAAATGACCTGGACGATGTAGGATGTATGCACAAATATTTGGATCCGTGCCTGGCATGTGATTCTGTGGAGTAGGCTGAAGTTTTAGTCGCCTACCCATAAATGCCATGGGCAGGACTTCTATGTTCACGCCAGTCCTCTGGGAAGACAACATGGTGCTCTACACCTATCCAGTGGACAACATCTGCAAAATCAGAAACAGTACAAGGGTTGCAATTGTAAGCGAGGAGACATACATTAATGGCATAGTACGCGCAGCGGCCTCGCTGTAGCAATGTGATATCATCTGAGTCTGCAGGTTGTGCGGCAGGGGGAGGTTCATCCAATCCTGCCGATTGCACGGCAGGCGGGGATTCATTGTGGTCTTGACTATTTCTGTCAGGTTACTCCAGCTGTATCAACTCCATTGGCTTTAGTGTGCTCGGGAGAGAGATCATCTTCAGTCGGGGGCTCCATCAGGTGATCCAAAGGTGGATCATTGTCAACTGGGCGGGGGAAGAAGCAAGGCTAGGTGGATGAGAAATGGGTAGCTCTCTGTGTGTGTGTGTGTGTGTGTGTGTGTGTGTGTGTGTGTGTGTGTGTGTGTGTGTGTGTGTGTGAGAGAGAGAGAGAGAGAGAGAGAGAGAGAGAGAGAGAGAGAGAGAGAGAGAGAGAGAGAGAGAGAGAGAGAGAGAGAGAGAGAGAGAGAGAGTGCGTGTGTGTGTTTTAAATTTCCAGTACAACAGGCCCTATTCCACCCAGATGAGTAGATGCAAAATCAAAGCAGCTTTAATCCCATTGCAGACAACGAGGGCCCTTGAGTTCTCTTATACACATCTAGATGTGTATAAGAGACAGGAGTGTGTGTGTGTGTTTTAAATTTCCAGTACAACAGGCCCTATTCCACCCAGATGAGTAGATGCAAAATCAAAGCAGCTTTAATCCCATTGCAGACAACGAGGGCCCTTGAGTTGAGACAATCCAATATGAAACAGTTTCATGGTTTCACCTCTATAGCAAGCAACATGGAGTATAATAGAAGCATTTAAATCCCTTTCCTAAATGTGTTCACTTTTACTTTCCTTGGGGTACCCCTTTCATTTGTTCTTGCAGCTCCCCTTTTACTGTGAGGCGGTTAATGGAAGGCCCAAATTTTTTGTTTTTTTTTTTGCCTGATTGTTTTTTTGATGGTTGTATTATGACCCTGCATAGTTTGTTCGCAAAAGTTTCGACAACATTGCTTGTAGCGACGCGGCGAAAACCCCCGAATTTTTGGCCTTCCATTAACCGCTAGTGACTTTTACTGTGCCTCTCATGTACAAGGCTCACCAGGTTGATTGTGGTTGAGCCTGAGCTGCCCACATCCCCGTGTGCCACAACGGCCCACTTGCACACTATGAAAGGAGGCAGAGTACAGGCGGAGATATATTCCTGCTCGTTTTTCCTTAAGAATTCCGCAGATCTTCAGCCTATATTCTGTCTGTTCTCTTGGTGATCCTCATTTGTATGCATTTACTAGTAGTACACAAGAAGAGGGAGGAAGGAAATGGGAGGTGGAATTCTGACAAGGTTCTAAATAGTCAGCACTGGAGCAGACTACTCTAGAATGGCACGTAAGGCCAGTCAGTGTTTGGGTTGCATAAAATTTTGAATTGAGGAGCAGTCGTTACCTAAGGTAAGTAGCCGCCTCAACTGACCTGACAGGACCGGTTCGGGTGTGGACTGTGGAAGCACGGCATCCAATTCTCGGTGTTTACGCGGTTGCTGCATCAAATGGCACAGCATAGACAGATGCCACAGGCTACATGACTCCTACATGCTCGGAACACCGAGGCACGCCGACCGCAATTGTAGAGGCATTGCCGTTCCAGGCCCTGTCTACGAATTGGACATGACATGTCCGGGTACCGTACATGAGTGCAGTACGTATGAAGACAAACACTCTCATGGGCTATCCCTTCATAATCCTCACGGCACCAGGCATGTGAGCCACATGCTAGCTGAATCTCCGATGGGTCATCACAAAAAGGCATTGAGCAGGTTTCTTGGGTTTCCTCAGTATTTCTTCCCTCTCGATGGGCAGGCGTCGACGGGGGTTGATCTAAAGCAAGGGTGTTTAGCTGCTGCAGGATTTGGTCTGCACAGCTCTCCCTGGTCGTCATATCCTACGAGTACAGCACTCTTTAGGTGGCTCATATGGTAGTCTATTGTCCTCCTCAGGCTGCTGCGTCTGTCGTTTATCTGGGAAGGAAGGAGGGAATCCATCTGTGGTTGCAGTAGGTGTATGCCCAACACCGCATGTGGGAGGATGTGGTGGATGATGGCACCGGGGATAGTCTACGCAATAGAGACACATACTGTCCCTGACAGCTTCCTGAAAACATTGATGGCACATGGCATGTTGCCGACATGTCAGCAGTAAAGAAGGCTGACGTGCCTGCGTGTGGGTGTGGTGTTCCAGCTATGGCTGGTGCTTCGCTTCTCCTTCCCTGCAGGCACTGTTCGCTGCTCTCAGCTTCCAATTCCGCTCTTAATATCTCTCCTCCTATGGAACACTCTATACCCATCTTTTACGTTGTAGTCCCGGAGTTATATTATTTTGCCTGACCTTAGGCTCTGTTGCCACTCCTCTAAGGGGAATTTGCTCTAGAATCACTTTGGGCCACCAAGCTGCCAGTTACATGGTGAAACCCTGTGAGGCTGTGACTAATACTACCCATGTAAACTACATGCTACTGAATTCAGAGACACACCTGAGGACTGTGCTAGGACACAAGTGGAGTTTGCAATTTTAATATGTACGACGTAGTACTGAAGGCCGGAATTCACCCCAGAATAAATTTGGGCCACCAAGGTGACAGTTGTATGATGAAACTCTATGGGTAGTGCTAGCTTATAAATTTGTAAGCGACATGCTACTCAATCTGGTTGTATGATCTCTGTGTGATATCCACATTCCTTTCAAGCACAATGTGAGATACCTCTCCTAAGCCATATTTGGTTTGCAAGTCACAAAGTGGGTTACTTGGCTTTTTGCCTGTGGGCTTGCAGGTGAACAACAGAACTGTGCAGGTTTTGAAAGACAAGCAATTTGTGCCGGAAACATGGGCCAATGTTATTGTTGGTGATATTGTGAGAGTCCATGATGGTGAGGAATTTCCAGCCGATTTGGTGTTTCTACTCAGCAGTGATAGCCAAGGCAAGGCCTGTGCGCAGTACTGCACCCCCACTAACACTGCTACACCTAAAAAGTCAAACTCGGCATTAAGAAAAGTAGCTAGAGCATGTCTTACCTCAAATTTTGAAGTGACTGCATATATTCCTGGAGTTGGACAGAACCTACAAAAACACTCAGCAGTGAAAGGATTCATGTTCATTTGCCTGCTCGGATTCCATCCCAGACCCTCGCCTGCACGTTTCCCGGCGACTGAGCCTGTGGAGATTTGAACCTGGAACTTTACCTGGGGAAGTTATATATAAATTAGCTAGGCTACCAAAGTGGCCCGGGGTCACTTGCCCGGCCGGGCCAAAAACAATAAAAATAATAAAAATAAGAAGTATTAAAAACAATATTTTTAAAGTTTATTTTGTATTATATATTTGGTGAGGAATTTCGATGTGACCCTGAGGCAAACGTTGTTCAGTTTATTTTTCTGCATAACATAGTTTTTTTTAGGATTTTTTTTTTTTTTTTTTTTTTNTCTTTTTTTTTTTGCTGGGACCTTCCCTGGTGCGTGTCTCCTACCTGCGGCAACGGCGATAGCGCATGGAATAGCGGGTACCAGCTCCGATACCAATGCAATCAGACTCGCTTTCTTCCACACTTCACATGCATGTAAACAGGTAGCGCAGCAAACTGGCGACAAGCGCCCACTCAAAGCTCAAAGATATGGTAACCAAGAACACAGTTCAGATACAAGATCACTTCAGATGGCTATGGCGCATCAGCGCCTCACTGTACTCTACTCCGCTGTTCACACACACTCAACTCAAGATCAGCCTGGATATCCCACACACGACACACTGTACACACACGCACACACACGCTACACTCTTCTCCCAGCTATGGCGGCTATGGCCACTACTACCTCTACCGCTATGGCTAAACTCTCCTTCGGCCCACTTCGTCTTCGGGCATACTGCAGACCACCTCGCACAAGTCGCTGTGGCAGCGCTTCCGCATGGCTTACACAGGAATGAATGAATGAATGGGCGCTGCCTCTTGATTTATACTTCTGTAACTCGTTGGTCTGCCCCTTTCCCAAGCCCGTGGTGCACACAGTCCCATACGGTACTTGCTTGACTGGACTAGGACTGACTGGGACTGGTACCGCTGACTCAGCACGGGTTGACTCCGCCACGTGCCCACTTGCCTCTGGACTACTGTGAGCAACGGTTGAAGGGCCACTTCCGGACCTTCCGGAAGTCTGTGGACTTGGCCCTTCAACAGTGTAGCAGCTACGACCTTGACCCTTCACGACTGTAGCAGCTACGACCTTGACCTTTCAGAAGTTGCTACCAATTTACTGAACGCCCGCCGTGCATATATTCGTATAGGACGCCCAGGCATTATTTTCGGTTGAAGACAGTAGTCAATTTTCTTCGTGTTCTGCCTCTATTTAACACAGTCAACTGCTGCTCAGTACGGGGGATGATGGCGCCCAGATCATGAGCGAACGCAGACGATCGCAGCCACTCCCCGGGGCGTATATGCAGGCCTAACAGTCTGCTGTCGTGTCTCAACATATCATGTAAGGCTTCGATATAGATCACATACAGGGCAGGGGAGAGCAGACAGCCTTGCCTCACCGATCTAGTGATCCTTATGGCCTTAGAACGCATCCCGTTAACCTGCATGAAGGCCTGGGCATTTCCTGATCCAGCTCCTGAAGATCCCCTCAATGTTCCGCCTTTTCATACTCTGCAATAAGAATTCCCATCTAACCTTATCGTACACTTTTTCTAAATCGATGAGCACCCAGCTGTTGCCCCCCCTTTGTGGCTCCTCCAAGATCTGATGAGCTAACCAGATGTTGTTAACAATTTGGTTGCCTGACATCCGATTCGCCAGTGCTTTCGCGAATATCTTGTACATTGTGTTGAGCATAGATATGGGTCTCCAGTTACATACATCATCCTTGGACCCCTTCTTGTATATTAGAACCACATAGGTGTCTGCAAAGCCTTGCGGAAGAACGGCATGTTGGAGGGCCTGTTGGATGCTTCAGTTAACAGTAACGTGAAGGTCCGACGATCTCCTTATAAAGTTCTATCGGGATCACGTCCAGCCCCCGCGCCTTCAATCTGGGCAGCTCCGCAATCGCTCTCTACACATCTTCTGGGGCAAGGTCTTCATCCAGCCTGCTACAGCCTTCTAGGCTGAGTCTCGTCCCAGTGGCCACCCACACCTCCTCTTCTGGTAGCATGGCCATATCCCCCGAGTCCAGGCCTCCTCCTCAGTAAACAGATACCTGTCAAATTCCTCCATATAACCCAGGATGACATCGGTGGAGCACTGCTTCGGCCTGATGCAGTGGAAGGGGTGTTGCATCGCCGTCATAGTAATCATGCCCTTCTTCTTGCCGAGCTCTGCAAAGAATCTTCGGGTCATCTTCTCTCCCACCAAAATCCACACAGATTTAGTCTTCCTATCCCACTTCACCGCTTCATCCACCGGCCATTCCCTTCTAGCCCGGGCTGCCTCAACTCTCTCGGCCCACCATTCCTCCTCCATCAGTCCTGCTCCAGGTCCATTGTCCAGGTCCTTCATTCGATCTACAAATTATTGTGCAGTCCGCTGGCGAGCCTGGTAGTTCCTCTTCAATGCTACCTTCAGCACCATCTTCAGTTCGGCGACCTTTTGGCAGAGCCACTCCAACTTATTATCTTGCAGTGGGTCATCCCAGCCCTCATAGTTTCCGCGAGTTCATTGAAATCTCACTTTGAAATTGTGCTTGACCTACCAGCTCGAATTTGCAAGTGCGTGAGCATACTTGAATGCTAGCAGTAGTTTGTGAGTGAGAAGCAACAATGCAATTGTAGTGCCGCAGGCAGGATAGCCAGTAGTGTTGATGGATTCAACTCTTATTGTGCACTATGGGTTCTGCTACTTCCCTTCTATGCTTCAAAGCTGTGGTCTCTTAATTTAGGACAATCATTTCCTTGGCGTAGATCAATGGCTCCGCTTGATATGGATGGTAGCTATGACATTGACTGCATAGTAGATCAGGCTTAGAGTCAACAGCTTAGAGTCACATGGGAGTACCAAGACCTGGAAGAGGATAGGTGGTTCCTCAAAGAGCAACTTTGTGAGACCACACCTCACATTGTCTCACACCATGAGCAAGCACATAGGGGAATTCGTGAATGCGGCAGGTAGACTACACCTGACGCTATCATCTTCGTTTCAACCTGATGAGCAGGGTTGCATACCTGCCAACCTCCAATGCTGACCGCCAATCGTTTTGCAGCCTACCAGTAGGGGCGACCGGTCGGCGGTCTGCCGACTAGTAATCTATTCAGTCTTGTTGTTATTTCACCTATTCTGCATGGACCTCTGATGTCCGGTATCCAGGCACTGGACATCAGACACCAGAAAGGGTGTCAAGCTGTCGAGATCATAGCAATGGCTTGAACATTGGGTTTAAAACTGGGCATGATTGTATCCAGTTATGAACTTGAAGGGTTTTGCCGCTTTCTTGAAACACCAAAGTGAGGAGTACCATTGTAATGCCCAATGACCATCTTAACTGGCCTGCAAGAACCCCTGGTTTTGCAGCATCGGGAGGTTCCATAGTTTGTCAAATTTCGTCCGATACCCAATAAGCCTGAAAAATAATGCCAAGTACAGGACCTTTCTGGTACTGCTGTACCCTGCCTGGAAAGTGGAAAGATACAGCGGTACGGGCCCATGGAAAGTTCTATCTGGGCCCGGCTCCTGAAGTATGCCGGCCTAGGGGCTGGCTGATTGTGCAGACGACATTATATAAATTCAGCCAACCTAGTCAAAGACACTGGTTAAAGCCGCTAGACTGCTGCACCCCTGACTGAAGGAAGGCGCAGTTGGGCTCCCGTGGCAGCTGTGTGACGGACTCATGCTCTTGCACTGGCTTGCAGCCGCGGGTACTGGGCTATGGTGGAGAGAGTAGTGCTGGCCGATCAGGGGGCAAGGAAGTCAGTAAGCGCCTGACACTTGGCGGTGTGTTCAGGTTGGGGGCTAAGGTTAGCAAGGAGAGAGGAGAGAAAGACTTGGATGCTGTTTTCCAAGGCGGTTTCTTGGCTGTCGATTCTTGGTCTAACAATGAAGCCTGTGCACTTTCAAACTATGATAATAATGAGTCGCAGGCGTTGAGGGAATCTTGTTGAGGGAATCTTGTTGACGGCATTAGGTAAGCCTGCATCGAATGATGAGTGGATCCTGAAGCCCGCTTAAAAAAAGTTAGCTCACTGGAAAGACCAACACACCTCCCTAATCGGCAGCGCGCTGGCGATCAACAGCATTGTGTTGACGGCCCTTTGGTATAAATCGGCAATTTGGGCTCTCAGTAAAGAGGTCGTCCGATCACTAAAGCAACAGTTAATGGCCCTGCTGTGGAGAGGCGAACATTATTAGTAGGGTGGCCTGGTCATCGGTGATCCAACCCAAGGACAGGGGGGGGCTGGGGATTCTAGACCCGGATACCCAGATCACAACATTAATGGTTCAATGGGTAACGAGACTGCTCTACGCGCGGCATCTCCCATGGTATGCCCTCACACTGGAACAGATAGCTAGACTTGCCCCACAGGCACCACAGGGTGTTAACCCGCTGACCTGATTGGAAGACCGTTCCTGGACCGTGCCACGGCACCCTCGAGACGGTCGAGACTCGAACCCAGACACAACCCACAAAGACTTGGTCAGGGACGACTTTTGGGCCCAGGTCTTGAGAGCTGACTTCCACTGCCTGACAACCCCCCACAGACTAGGTGGGAGGATGTGATGCGTCAACACCTTTTTGGGAACAGGAGGATTACAGACCGGTGCGGCAGGGTGTATTGCAGCTCACCCCATGGTGCAGCTGGGTCAAAAAACGCATAATCAGAATAAAGGATATGTGAGATTCAGGGAAAGGGGACTGGAAAACAGTGCCGCAAGTGAAGGCCATATTAAAACATTGTCACAATGTTGAGGAGAACATTGAACTATTGGTCTTTGCTATTCCCCTAGACTAGGTGTGCACCCTGCGCAAAGGGCCGCGGCTGGCAGAAAGGGACTGGGTGACTGTTCCAGGTGACCCAGAAAGCGTACGAAATGTGGTGGAGGTACGAACGGACGAAACACAGGTTAACCTCTTCCATATAGGCAAGGATAACGTTCTCACTCGGTACACCCCAGAGGTGATGAGATGAAGGAGAAATGTGGACCTGCACAGGATTCGCGTGCTGCGGGATAAGGATGTATGGATTGCTTATCAACCAAATACCCCAGTAGCAGAGCTCCCCTTTGACCCCAAGGAGTGGCAGTGGGCACACCCCACAAAAATGCAGGTCGGGGGTGAATGCAAAGTTGTACAACTTAACTGTGAAGGCTATGTACCGTTTGCTGCGACCAAAGGGAAACTTGAAAGAAACGGTGAAGGATTGATGGAGGTCCCATTTGAATGTAGGGATCGAGGTGATCTGGCCTATTCGATGGTTCACCGCCACAAGGTCTAGGCTGGCAAAGATGGCGTCGCTGCAGTGGCAGATAGAACATCGCTGCCTACCCACCAACGACTGGCTGATAGATCGTACCTATCTAGAGCAGAAGGGGCGGCCGCTACCATGGTGTAAATCGTGCCAGACTGTCTTTCCCCCCCGTAGAATTCCAGAAACCATAGAGCACATTTTCATGCAGTGTCCGGGGGCAGTTCTCACATGGCAATGGTGGGATAGGATCTGGACCCTGTTGGACACTGGGTCCAAGTGACCTTGGGACTGGAGGGCCATACTATGCAAGGCATGGACCTCCCCCACGGACAGGACTTTTGAAAATAACATGTTCAAAATGGGGAGGAGAGCTGTCATGTGGACCCTCTGAAGGAAACATTGTATACATGCCATAGAAGGGGTCCGCATAGCGGGGGAAGAGGCAACAGACATGATAAAACAATATGTTCAACAAGAACTAACAGCGCAGTGGCAAAAAGTCAAAAACCAACTGGATTTGTTTCATTCATCCAAAGATATAATACAAGCAATTCATCAATTCTCAGGGGACTGGTTGGGCAGTGAGAACGGGGGCTGGATTGCCTCTGTCAGATGGGACGGCAGGTAACCAGGAAGAGTTCAGGAAAGACTACCGTATTTGCCTCAGGGACAGGACTACGGTGGGTCAGGAGGTCCCGCTGCGACCATCCACAGAATTCCCCGACCCCTTCCCGCCCCACCAGTTGGCAATTGTGGACATGCAATGGTATGGAGCAGACTGAGCAAGACCACAGATCAAAGGGTCCAAGTAAGGACGGAGTAGGTATACAAGCAGGACATGGAAGGACGTCTGAGTCACATCGAACGAGCGTTAATAGCTGGTCATGGGAGGCGGGGCATGCAGAAGAAGCAGGGGGTAGCTGCCAGGGAAACGAGAGTGATCTGGTGGTCTGGTGCAGGCTGAAGAGCAGACTGAGCAAGACCACAGATCGAAGGGTCCAAGTTAGGACGGAGCAGGTCTACAAGCAGGACACGGAAGGACGTCTGAGTCACATCGAACGAGCGTTAATAGCTGGTCATGGGAGGCGGGGCGTGCAGAAGAAGCAGGGGGTAGCTTCCAGGGAAACGAGAGTGATCTGGTGTCTGGTGCAGGCTGAAGAGGTGACCATACGCCCCAAAGTGTGCTGTATTTCAACACATCTATCATTAACCCTGCGCAGTCAATCTCCTGGAAACAGGGCAATCAATGCTGGCAAGGACGCTGGACCCGCTTTCCAGCAGGTGCTGCTCCCCACCAATAGACTGGAGCACCCAGCACTCTTGCTAGGAGGGAGTGCTTGTACCACCTCTCCCAGCAAAGACACTGGTCTTTCCTTAAGAAAAAAAAGAAGAAAAAAAAAGGCGTTGAGGGAGAAGGGGGAAGAGGCGGAGTTGGCTGTGCTCTTTATTCCTGTTGTACTTGGCGTGACACATATTGTTTGAGTTGATAAGCTGCTGTGAGTGGTTTGGTTTGTTTGAGAAGGTACATGTATGGGCACATAACTTGGTGGATGATGACAAGGTATGTGGTTCATAACATGACTGTGTTGTGCGAACAATGCAGGGGTTGCGCTTGTTGAGACGTCGAAACTTGATGGGGAAAGCAACCTTGAAACAAAGTATGCCTTTTACAGGTCAGTCCCCAGAAGCTGGGGGAAAGGAGGAATTTGTGGAAAGTCAATCTCTCACTTGTCGATTGAGGTTCATAAATCAAGCCAAAACTGGGCTGAATTTCGTGGGCGTGTGAAGGTCGAGGTAGGTCGCTCACACCCTGTTCCCTAATCATGTCAAATTTCACCTGTCATACAGTCGTTGATTTCATCATCCTTCTGAAGTTCTGCGCACCTTATCTTGTGGGGAGAGCACTATGTTAATTAGGGGTGGGTTCATCTAACTTTTATCAGTTCTTGTTGAAGAGTCCTTCCCTGCCCCCCCCCCAACCCCATCAATTGGTTTCTCAGCTTTAGTAGCTGTTTACATCTTTTTTTTCGCTTAAGAGTTATCTATTCAGTCTTCGTTTTGTTCCATTGCGCACAAATTCCTGTTTGTATAAACTGTTGGATCAGTTCAACAATTTCTTTACCTTCCAATCTCACCTGCTGTTACATGCTGAGCCTGCACACAGGCCCCGTTTCGGGGGCCCGACGGTTGGTGGGGACCCCCAGGCCGCACGCCATTCAGCCATGTGCCCTGGACGCCCATGGCTAGCCTTTGGACCGCAGGGCTCGATTTGAGGCAGCATTTATTTATTTATTTGCTGTTCCATTTTTTTGTCTGTTTCTGTAGCCAGGCCCTTTCGGGCCAGGTTCAGTTCCGTCCGGTAGCAGACTCTCCCTGCTGCATCAGCTGGGAGGGCCTGGACGTCCGGTAGGGACCCAGGCAGGCCGTTTCAGCCCAGGACCAGGGGCACACCAGCCAGGCCCAGCACTATAGATAGCTGGGCCAGACCAGTGCACCTACACAGTTTGAGTAGCTCACTTCTTGGGTGACACGCTGCTAGAGCAGCGCGATACAGCGCTGCGTTATAGGTAGAGGTGTAGGTAGAGAGTGAGGCGGTGGCCATACCTGCAGCGGCGGAGTACTTACCTGGGCGCCAGAGCTGGACTTCTCGCCAGCGACCTGCAGCACAGAGAGACATGCCGGCGCGTTAGTACATGGTGGCAGCAGTTACCTGCAGGTGAGACAGTGAGGAGGACGATGTATTCTTCTTCTTCCGATTCTCGCCCTCCATCTCTTCTTCTTCTTCTTCTTCTTCTTCTTCTTCTTCGTGTTTGAGAGAGAGAGAGAGAGAGAGAGAGAGAGAGAGAGAGAGAGAGAGAGAGAGAGAGAGAGAGAGAGAGATTACAGGCACAGGTTAAGTCAAGGCTATGAGGCCCAGGATCTGATTCGACATTTTTGCAGCAGACATTCATGGGACATTCGACATGGAGACTATTTTTGGACTTCGCTATCACGATCTTGGTCTTCTCCCTCATCTCCATCTTCGTCTTGCCCCTCCACCCTCACCTCATCCGTGGTATCTCCCCAAGCGCGTATCCAAGGAGGGACCTTTTCTTCTATGCATGCGGTCCCTCCTTCTCTCTCACATGTGTGGTGTGTGATGGGTTGAGTCGTGGCAGTATCTGACAGGCCAAGTCATATCTTTGAGTCCTCCGCTGCGCTACATTGTGATATTGTTGTATGTATCTGGATGTACATTGCTTGTTGATGCTTCGCTGATGCTGCATTGTCCATTCGAGTCCTTTTCATCTGCAATGGCGGTAGGATAGCGGTGAGTCCACAGTCAGTCAACGGAAGGTCCAGTCAGTCTGAGAGAGCATGAGTGTAGGCTCCCTGGTCCGTCAGGCGAAGTGAAGGCTCCCTGGTCCGTCAGGCGAAGTGAAGACTGCTCGCCTGAGGCAGCGGGGGCCACACTCCATCTGAGAGAGCAGCGGGGGCCACACTCCATCTGAGAGGCAGCGGGGGCCACACTCCATCTGAGAGAGCATGAGTGTAGGCTCCCTGGTCCGTCAGGCGAAGTGAAGACTGCTCGCCTGTTCCATGCGTCCGGTGTAGATAACACCTTGGCGCATTGCTGTCTCAGTGCTCCCGCGTTCGCGCGATTAGTAAGAAAGGAGCAGTTAGAGGAACAGGTCTTTGTGGTGTATGTTAGACCTGTCTCTACTATCGCCGCTCCCTTGCGCAGGTTGCTGAAGAAAGAGGCAATCTGGCAATGGGACAAAGACTGTACGTCTGCGCTCAAGAAGCTAAAGCGCGCGTTAATAGAATATCCTGTCCTCAAAGTTGCAGATCCGTCTTTGCCATTTGTTGTCACCACGGACGCGAGTCAGTATGGGATAGGCGCCGTGTTGCAGCAAGAGGACGGCAATGGCTATAGACCCGTAGAGTTCATGTCAGCGAGGATGCCCTGTGAGAAGGTCGCTGCCTCCACGTACGAGACAAAACTCTACGCTCTCAGGCAGGCTTTAGACCATTGGAAGCACTATCTGCTTGGGAGGCACTTCAAAGTGTATTCTGACCATGAGACACTTCGTTGGCTAAAGACCCAGGCCAAGATGACACCTAAGTTGACTAGGTGGGCCGCAGAGATAGACCAATTCGACTTTGAGCTCAAGCCAGTGAAGGGCAAGTACAATGTAGTGGCGGATGCTCTAAGTAGGAGATCAGACTACTTTGGAGCCGTAGTACATTATCTGGGTATAGGGAAAGACCTGCAGGAGAAAGTGAAACAAGCGTATACGCAGGACCCTATCTATAACGACCTCCTAAAGAGAGTTAGAGA